CTTACTGAGAAATAAAGACATAGGCAGATTTACCTGCACCTGGGCTGACTCAGAGTAGGAAGCAGGAGGTCCCAAAGTGAAGAACAATAGGCTGCGTTGTGTGACCTCCCTGTAATGGGTTAAGCACTGGTTAGAGAGTGCAGCACTATACTGAGCTCCAGCCCCATAACCCCTAGCAACACAGGCCATATTCTGCAAGGGAGACATGGAAGACCTACTGTCTAAGACTTCCTTCCCTTGAGCCGGCATCAGCACCCAAGTGGGAAAATCTGGCCACAGGTTCATGTGTTCCACAAACTTGTGTACACATGTGCGTGATGACATGTGCACTCAACCCCACACAAATACCCACTTACCACAAAGTGGGAGTAGTCCTACTTGCCTTAAAACTAGTGCATCTGGAATGGCATTGTTGCCTGGGATTACAGGGAAGGACATGCAAGATGTTAGTCCATGAGGGAAAGAACAGGGCACTGGGCATGTTCTCTATGTATCAGGTCCTCCTGGTTGAGGAGGGTTACAGTATCCCCATTTCCAATCCCACAACACTAGGCTATAGAGGGCACAGCTGAATAGTGACACAGGACACTCCCTACTCAAGGAAGCTCCAAGCCTTCCTTCTCTTGGGTCCTATAATATCACACACCAGTTCAATTTGACACCATGTACATACCCTAGGGTGAACATGTGGACACACACACACACACACACACAACAACTCACCAGTGATTTGGTTCCCACAGTATGGCAGGAGAGGTCTAATTTATCATGAAATGGGGGCATATGGGATGGCATCCATGGTGACCTGACACAGACAGAAATTCAGTATTCCTTAAGGTGAAAAAGAGGCTCTCAGGCATGAGCTCACTGTAGCACGTGAAGCAATAGTTAGGGAAGGTGAAGGTAGCATCCCCTGCTCCAGACCAATAATCCCAGGATACACAGGCATTAGCTGGGCAGATATGTGAGCCAACTGAGGCAACATGTATGTACATTACTTTGAATGTCTGTAAAACATCTCATACACCATTCTTTTTGCACAGGGGATGGGTGGGAGTCAACTTACCTCAAATCAGATGTATATGGGATGGCACCTGCAACTGGACCCACAGGACCACGAAGAGGTCATGGAGCTGAAGTTGATGCAGTCCTCAGTATGACTGCCCTGTTAAGAGGTGAAACATTGTTTGAGGAGAGTGGCACATCTGCAGCTCCAGGTCCATAACCCCGGGCTACACAAGTCATAGCCTGGGAGGCATGAAAAACCATTCCCTTCCTTCTCTTTGGCTCACAATAGCATGTGAAGAGGCAAACTTGGCCACAGTTACTGCCTTCCTCACAGTAATGTACACACAACCACACCCTAATCAGTCCCTACAAAGTGAGGAACAGGCCCACTTACTTAAGGAACCAGTAAAACAATAGTCTGCAAGGTGAAGAACTGGCCACCTGACATGACCTCCCTTTTATCAGGAGAAGCACTGGTTGGGGATGGCAGCAGCATTCCAACACCATAACCCCGAACTTCACAGGCCATATCTGGGACAGTCTCCAAATCCTTGCCTTCCTTCTCTTGGGTCCAATGTAGCATATAGCCAGGCTAATCTGGCACCACCTATGTGCGTTCCTGTGATCACCTGTACATATGTATGCACACAACCCCTCACCAATAATTTAGTTCCTTCAGGATTAAGCAGAAGAACACCCATTTACCATGGGTCCAGGTGTAGGTACCATCTGTGAATGCCCCCACAGATGGTACCTACACCTGGGCCTACCCAAACCAGGAAATGGATGTCTGTGAGGTGAGGAAATACAGGCACCATGTAGGACATCGCTGTAGCAGGTGATACACTGGATGTGGATGGCAACAGCATCCTCAGCTCGAAGCCTACAATCCCAGGCTACAAAGGCCATAGCCTGGGAGGCATGAAAGACTCATCCCCAGCCTTCATTCCCTTGGGCCCTCAATAGCACAGGAAGAGGCAAATTCAGCCATACATATTGCCTTCCTCAACCTTGTGCATGCCCACACACAATGCCACATCTGTAATCATTTTGCACGAATGGTGAAACAGGACCATTCACCTGGAATCTTGGGCATTTGGGATGGCAGTGACACCTTGGCCCTACATGGAGGGACCAACCAAAGGTAATCCACAAGGTGAAGAACAGGCCACTGGGCACGACCTCTCTGTAGCAGGAGAAGCATTGGTTGGGGGCAGGGTGGGCAGTAGCATCCCCAGTTCTAAGGCCATAATCCTGAGCTACATAGGCTGTAGCTGGGAAAAAAAGATGAGCAGGGAGAGGAGGCAGACTCAAGAACTGGCCTGCCTTCTCTTGGGTCTTCTATAGTGCACTTCCAGCCCAATATGGCATCATGTATGTGCATTCGTGTGAATGTTTAAACACAAATGCACACAACTCTTCCCCCATCATCCATTTCTAAGGAGGAGTAACAAGGCCCATTATCTCAAAACAGGGGCATCTGGGATGGCACTGAGACTTGGGGAGATACGGGCCAAGAACATGGAATTCAATCAGCTGAAGCTGACAAGGTTCTTGGGCAAGTTCTTCTTGTTTCAGTTGGTTGGGGATGGTGGCTGCATCTGAAGCACCAGTCCCCAAACCCTAAGTTCCACTGGCCATAGCCCAGAGAAAAGGTGGGGCAAATTCCATTCCTGGCCTTCCTTCTCTTGTACCAGCTATAGCACATGTCTAGCTCAACACATCTGGATGTGGTGTGAGGCCTGGCAGAGGGTGTGGGGGCCCAGCAAGAGGGGCTAGGCCCACTTAACTCCAAACAGGGCTGTACTGGGATGGCTCCCATGGCAGGCAGTGGAGAAAATAACACCTCAAATTGGTGTTATCTGGGTTTGGATCCTGCATCTGGGCCCACACTGAGCAGGAAGGTAGAGGAATCTCTTTGGACTCCATGTAGCTGTGGCACGCACAGCACCAATTGAGAGGGAGGCAAAGTCCATAGCTCCAGCCCCACAACCACCAGATGATACCTGGGAAATGGAGGAACCCCCAGTTCCAGTAACTGTGGTACATGGGTCCAGGCCTATCTCATCAGAAATGTGGGCTCGTGCCCATGCACCTCCTCTCACTAATGCATGCTGGCATGGCCTGAGGTGGGAGGACAGTGTGGGCAGGGGAGTCACGTGTTTGGGGTGGAGCAAGCACTGGGGTGGGGAAGCATGAGGTGGGGGAGCACAGGGAGGGGGATGGGAAGCACAAGGTGATACTGCAACCGCATGGGGTGGGGTGGGGAAAGCACAGGGTAGGGTATGGATGGGCTAGGTGGTAGGTGGTAGGTTGGGGAGGGGGATGAGGAGTGGGCCTAGTGAGGTGGAGCTGGGGGGACAAAAAGAGAGGTTGGGCCCACTTAACTTGAAAGAGGGTTGCCTAGAGATAGCTCCCACACAGTGGTAGAGGAGAGAGTGGAGAAGAGGGAAATGAAGGGAGCTAAGGAAGGGAGGCTTACTTACATTGAATCTGGGTTGTCCAAGGATGGCTACTGCAGCCGGACCCACAAATGATATCTGCCTGTGGTGAAGCTGAAGAGTTCCTCAGGAACCAACACCATGCAACATGGGCTGCACCTGTTGGGGGAGGGCAGCTATATCCATAGCTCCATCAGTGGATACAGGAAAATGGAGAACCCCGGATCACAGAGACCATAGCCAGGAGGGAAGGCTGGGTGGACCATGAGCCCCTACTTTCCTTCTTTGCTGATTACAACAACTAATTTGCCACCTCTTGCACACATGTATATCCCCTCACCCACAATAGGAGGAGTGGGGTCGGGTTGGGGTTGAGAGTCAGGTTGGGAAGGGATATGGGAAATGTGGCCCACTTTCCTTGGAACTTGGTTATCTAGAGTTGCCACAGCTGGGCCCACACATCCCTAAACCAATGCATGGGGATGAGTGGGAATCCTATGGCCATGGGCCAGAGGTGGAGATGAGCCAGGCAGTAAGGTGAATGGGGTCCAAGTAGGCCAGGTGGCACTGGGGAGGGGTGCTGACAGAGGGTATGGGGGCCTGGGAAGATGGGATGGGCCACTTCACCCAAAACAGGGTTTATCTAGGATGGCTCCTGCAGGGGTCTGAGAAGATGGAGAAGAAAGGAAAGAACATGAGTAAGGGTGTCTCACTTACCATGGATAGGGGTCATCCAGAGAGATGTCTCCTCTAGCAGGGTTCACACAGAGCAGCAAATTAGAGATCCATGCAGAAAGCCACAGACCCCATGGACACTGTGTGACTGTGAAAGACACAACACAGGTTGAAAAGGAGGAGGCAAGGTCTGCAGGCCCATCTCCACAACCACCAAGTGACCTGGGAACTCCAGGGTGGGGGCGGAGGCTCTTAAACCATAGCCTGGAGGAGAGCATAGCAAACTTCCAGCCTGGGCGTTCCTTCTCTGCAGCAGACACAGCTTGGTCCAGGCCAATCCTGCACTATGCCCTGTATACTGGTTGGGTGGTCATGCACACATCCTCTCTCCCATCCATCTGTTCCCTTGGGAAGCTTGGGGCCAGGCCGCAGGGAGAGGGTAAAATCCAGTGTGGTTGGGACTGGAGATCAGGATTTGGGGGAGGGACAGGAGAGGGCATGGGGCTGGAGGAAGGAATCCAGCTAGGAGAGGGTGGGTAGGTCCCACTTACTTCAAATTGGGATTGGCCAGCCATGGCTCCTGAAGCTGGGCCCAAAAGTGACACCTAAGGTGGAGGTCTGCCTGAAGTGAAGCCTAAGGGGCCCTGGGGCACTGTGTCTTGGCAGCATGTGCAACACTGGTCCTCAACTCTAACCTCCCAACAGCCAGATGTGGTGGATCTGAACAACCCTGAGCTACATGCCAAAGCTGGGAGGGTAGTCAGGGCAGCCTCTTGATCTCCTGCCCTTCTTCTCTAGTAACTGCTTTTGCTAGGTCCATACCAACAGCATCACTAAGTTTGTGCTTATGTACGCATGGCCATGTATATCCCCTCACACAGGCATGCTGGGATGGCCTGGGGGTGGGGAGACCCAATGAACTTGGGCTGACAAGCAGGGGGAAGCACTTGGTGGGGGTGGGGAAGCACTTAATGGGCATTGGGCAAGGAAGGGTGACGTGGGCAGGCAGGGGGAGCACAGGGTGGGGGTTGGGCAGGGGGGGTCGTGTGGTGGGTAGGGCAGAGCAGGAAAAGCAAGGGGTGGGGGTGGAGTGCCAGAATCTGGGTGGTAGGAAACATAGGGGGTAGGGGGAAATGTGGGGCAGGGGTACAGGAAGAAATGGGGTTGAGTGGGATGGATTGCAGAGGGGCAGTGCGGGGGGAGGCCTTGTGGGGTGGAAATGGGGGCAAGAATAGAGGCTGGGCCCATTTAACTAAGAACAATGACTTCCAGGGATGGCTTTCACAGGGTGGCAGAGAAAAGATTGGAGAAGAGGGGAATGGAGCAGGGGGTGGGGACTCACATTGAATCTGGGTCCTTTGGGGATAGCTCCAGCAGCTGGCCCCACTCTGACCTGGTAGGTAGAGGGCAATCCATGGTGAAGCTGGGGCTGGATTGGAGTGAGGGTCAGGCCAAGTGGGGTTGGGTAGTGTGGCGCCCCTTCCGCAAAACCAAGTTATCTAGGGTTGTTTCTTGTACCTGGATACACACATTCCCTAAGCCAATGATGTGGGGGGTAACGGGAGGGCTGGGTAAATGGGTGGGTGTGGTGGGGGACACGGGGAATGAGTTGGAGGGTGGGCCTGGAGGCAGAAGGTGGTATGGGGAGGGGATCCACCAGGCCACGGTGAGAGAATTGGTTGGAGTATGCTGGGCATCGAGGGGAATGGGGCTGCAGTGGGCCCAGAGGCAGTGGGATGAGGGGGGCTGGCATTGGGGATGGGGGGGCCTGGGAAGAGGGGATGGGCCCACTTCACTCAGAATCGGGCTGTCCACGGATGGCTCCCACACGAGTCAGAGGGAAAAATAGAGAGGACAGGAATGAAGGGGAGGGAAGGGGGATCACTTGCCTTGAATTGGGGTCTTCCAGGGATGGCTCCCACAGCAGGGCCCACACTGAGGAGGAAGGTGGAGGTCCACGCAGGAAGCTGAAGATCCTTCAGGCACCCTGTGGCTGCAGCAGGCTCAGCAGCAGCTGAGAGAGGGAGGCAAGGTCCACAGCTGCAGCCCCACAACCTCCAGCAGACACTGGGAAGCCAATGAGCTCTGTGATCCACCAGCTTTAGCCAGGCAGGGAAACAGGGCAGACTCAGAGCCTGAACCTTCCTTTTTTGCATCTGCTCACAGCTCAATCCATAGGCATGCGCACATCCCCTCTCCCATGCATCTGTTCCCACGGGAGGGGCAGGGCTGGGAGATGGGGTGGACCCTGAAGGGGCCTCTGGTCTAGAGAGGGTATCCGGCCAGGAGATAGGGCCTAAAGTGGGAGGGTGGGCAGGAAGCACAGTGTGAAGGTGGGGAAGTTCAGGGTTGATGAAGGGGTGGGTATGGAGAAAGCACAGAGTTGGGGCGGGGAGAAGGACTGGCTAGGGGTCAGGGTGGGCCATTTGGGGAATAAGGAGGGCCTGGCAAAGTAGATAAGGGGACAAGAATAGGGGCTGGGCCCACTTAACTAGAAACAGGGTTATCCCAGGATGGCTCTAGCTATGTGCTATGGGGCACCTGAGCTCTATTGGTGTAGGGAAGTCAGCCTATTTGAGTCACCATGCCTCACAATCTAGACTAAAAGTCAGCAACTACATCTTACTATTCATCTAGCAAGCACAAAAATCTCTTGGGTCATGAAGAGGTTTACAGTGAAGGTGGGTGAGTAGGATGGGACAAATTTGGGGAAACACATTCATAATACCCAAACTCATAATGCGTTTGTAATGTATAAAATGGACCCAAGTATGTGGTTCTTTTTTTTCTTTTCCATTCCCCCTCCTTTTTCTTTCCTTGTCATGCCAGTACTGGGGCTTGAACCCAGGTTCTTGTGAAAGATTGAAATTGGGGCTATGTCCATTTTACAATATGCTAACTGCTAATTCTGCTTCTGTAAACCTGCTTGCTGCTAACACTGACCCTTCCCCTCCCAAAAATAAGTAAAAAGTTACAAAGTCCAGATGCAGGCTGGCCCAGGGACAAGGTCTGCAAACATAAAGAACAAAAGAGTATGTTCTTCTAAATTCCTGTTTAGAAACTCTCAGCAAGGGGCTCAAGACAAGGACCATCTGGCGAGCCCAGCAAACTAAGTCAAATGTCAACCAATCACGAGCCTGTAACTATGTGGACTCCCCCCCAGGGAAGCCTCCCCCTAGAGAGCCAACCAGTTTACGACTAGTGTTACAAGACTTCCCACACAACAAAATGATTGCTGGAGTATATGATAAGTTTTAACCTGAGCCAATCCTGGGGAGCCTGGGGTCTTATGCTAATCCTGTGGTTTTTGTCTTTAAAAGTGCCTGTAACCACTGCTCGGGGCTTTCAGTCTGCCTTGGACAGGGAGCCCATTTGCACGAACGCCTAATAAACTCCTCTTGCTTGTTGCATCTGCTGGTTTGGAGTCTTGGTTCTTGGGGTGCCCTCCCGTTGAAGAAAGCATCCCAGTGAGTCTGGGGTCTTTCACTTGGTGCTCCAAGGAGTTCCTGCCCTAGGGTTTCTTGGTCTTCACCGGCCAGACTTCAATTTTCCTGGTTTATGTAAGCCCAACTGCAGGTACCATCATCGTCATGTCCTCCTTTCAAGGTGTGTGGGTCCCCTTCTGTCTGCTTCCTGTGGGAGCCAAAACCTGGACTAGGGGTAGTGCACCTGTGTACACACACTCACATGAATGCACATACTTGGTGCCAGATTGGCCTAAACTTATTCTATACTGGACCTGAGGGAAGAAAGGCCAGGACATGGAGACTTTAGCAACACTCATTCTTAGCTTTTCCATGCTACTCCATGTTACACCCCTCCTGCCTGTCTCAGTCTCATGTCATTCAATTTCTTAGTGTATATGATTTGTATGAGGGTGCTTTTTTCACTAAGGTGTAAAAACTATTTTAATACTTTTTTATTGTAAAAGTACTGTACAGAGGGGTTACAGTTACATGAGTAAGGTAATGAGTACATGTCCTATGGAGCATTGTTGCCTCCTCTTTTATTTTTCCCCTACCATACCTTCCTTCTCACCTCCCCAACTACTCCTGCCCCTTCCCTCCCCACCCAAAGTTGTAAAGTTCGTTTTCAACATGGTGTCTTGTACATCTCATTGTTGCAATGGGTTGACCTGTATCCCTGTTTAAGCATTTTGTTTTTTCCCTTCCGCTCCCCAAATTAGAAAAGTGTACATACAAGATGCAGGGCACTGGAATCAAATACAGTGAAAACAGGAATTATATCGTGGGGGAGGAACATAGCAAAGAAACAAAAAAAATCACATAGTGCATTGTAAGTACGTTAAAAACAATAGCAAAAAGAAAAAAAAAACACTTGTGTCCCTGTCTTGGGGTTCATTTCACTGTTAGAATGGCTATAAAAAAGAAATCTAATAACAACAGATGATGGAGGGGATGTGGCCAAAAGGGAACCCTACTGCATTGTTGATGGTAATGTAAACTTGTTCAATCACTTTGGAAAGCAGTATGGAGGTTCCTCAAAAGATTCCACATAGAGCTCCCCTATGACCCAGCAATCCCTCTTCTGGGCATTTACCCAAATGAGCACAAACAAGGGTATACTAAAGCTACCAGCACAACTATGTTTATCACAGCATTATTCACGATAGCTAAGATAGGGAACCAACCCAGATAACCCTCAGTAGATAAATGGATCAAGGAAATGTGATATATATATATGATGGAATTCTATGCCTCCATCAGAAAGAATAGCATTGCCCCATTTGTTGGGAAATAGAAATACTTGGAAAAATTATATTAAGTAAAGTAAGCCAGGCCCAAAGAAGCATAGGTCCCATGATTTCCCTTATTCACAATAACTAGTATACGTTTAGGACAAGCAAAAAAGGTCAAAAACTATTTTTATACATCCATTGGAAGTGCTTATTCAGATATATGATTTATAAATATTCTCCCATTTTGAGGGTGGGTTTTTACTGTTGAAGTGCATGAAGCTGAAATATCTATATTTATGATGGAGACAAAGTTGTCCATTTTCGTTTTGTTGTTTTCAGTTCAGTATCATATCTAAGAATTTATCCAGCAGAATGTTATGAAGGCTTTTATATTTATTTGATAGCTCTTTATAATATTGCTAGTTCATATTTAACTGTCCATTTAGATTTGATTTTTATGAATGGCAGAAGGAAAGGCTAATTTCTTTCTTTTATATATGGAAAGCAATTTGTCCCTATTTTATTTTTTTGTGTGTGTAGTAATATGCAACCTGTAAAAATTGTTTTTTTGTTATCTTCTAATTTTAATGAGACAAAAGTATTTGTAAATGTATATGTGTTTTGTTCAATCATGGAATGAAATCAGAAGATCTGATTTGAATTTGGTAAAACATTTACAAGAATCAGAAAGACAATTCCCTGGTGGACCTTGTGAGTTGTAAAGGTGAGTTGTAAAAGTTGCATAAGTAATGAGTACATTCCATGATAAAATGTTACCTCCTTCCTCTTTTTTTCTCCCACTTTCTCTCCCCACCTCAGCTCCCTGCCTCCAAGTTGTAAGGTTCATTTCCACCATAGTATCTTATGAGTATAGCGGTTGCATTGGATCACCCTTTGCCCTTCGTCTCACCATTTTGTTATTCCCCTTCACTTCCCCAAATCAGATAGACATATATTTTATTGTGGCTACCACAATAAAAAAAAACAGTGATGACAGGGAATAAACCAAAGGAAAAAAAGTAAAAGAAAAAAGAAATAACTTCACACTGTACATTAAAACAACAACAAAACCCTCTTATTCTCATATCTTGGAGTTCATTTCAATCTTATGTGGTCATATGTTCATAGCTATTGAACTATAGGACTAACCTAGACATAATATTAATTATTACAAAAGAGGGAAACCATGGAACCTATGTTTCTTTGGGTATGGCTTACTTCACTTAATGTGATTTTTTTCCAAGTCTTTCCTTTTTTTTTTTTCACAAAAGGGCACTTGTCATTCTTTCTGATGGAAGCACATAATTCCATTTGTGTGTTTGTGTGTGTGTGTGTGTGTGTGTGTGTGTGTGTGTGTGTGTGTGTGTGTGTATCACATTTTCTTGGTCTACTCATCTACTGAGGAGCATCTGGGTTGTTTCCTTATCTTAGCTATGGTAAACAATGCTGCCATGAAAATGGATGTGCTGTTAGCTTTAGTGTGGCCTTTTTTGTGATTGTTTAAGTGTTCAAATTTAAAGAGAATGATCAATAGCAAGTGAGTCAATTTTACATTTATTAACTATTTTATTAAATTTAAAATGTAACTTTGCGGGGAGGGGGGGAGGATCGGCTAGGGAGGGTGGGGGGATATGGGAAGGGATGGGAAGGGGAAACAAAGGAGGAGGCTACAATGCTTGATAAGAAATGTACTCATTATCTTGCCCGTGTAATTGTAACCCCTCTGTATGGTACTTTCACAATGAAAATAAAATAAAATAAAATGTAACTTTGTGTCAAATTTCACTCAACATTTATTGTAAATAAAAAATAACCAGATAGTTTTTGAGAAAAATTATCAGTGTTGAGTTGATTAGAAAATGTGTACCTTGAGCTCAGAGTTGCAGCTGATGCTAATATTCACAGGACTTGGCAGGAAAAGATCAGAAACATCATGACTTTGAGTTCACATGGGGCCATGTAGTAAAATGATCTCAAAAAAATTGAGTATATATATCATATATGTTATATATATATGGAATAATTATTATATTTATGTTTTAAGCATTTAAACCACCAATATGAAAAGGTTTCTGAATCATATTGCAACATATATGGATTTATTTGTACTTTTTCCAAACATACTTTTTTAGTTGTTGCTGTTATGGTTGGTTATAGGGCTTGAACTCAGGGCCTGGGCTCTTCTGTTTACAGCTAGCACTCTATCACTTGGAGCCACTACTCTACTTCTGGTTTTTGTAGTTAATTAGAGATAAGTCTCATGGACTTTCCTGCTTGGGCTGACTTTGAACTGCAATCCTCAGATTTCAACCCCCTGACTAGCTAGGATTACAGGCATGAACCACTGGTGCTTGGATGCTACTTGAAGTTTATCAGTTTGCTAGACTAAGGGAGGACTGC